TGGGCAATACAATCTGTCTTTCTTTATGGATTTGGAGCTGTCAGTGATGGCAAAAGATGCAGTGTGGAGATGATGGCGAGCCCAAGGGAGACAGTCACAAATTTGAGGGGGTGCTCTCAGGGCTCACACGTGAGAGCGAGGGCCTCCTTAACGGTGCACACTAGGGGCCTCTCTTGCCTCATCATAATCCTGTCCCGGGGGTCAAGTTCTCTTGACTGCTCCTCTGACCTTGTTGGCTGTAGGGTAACTCTGGTTACTCCTATGTTTTATTCTAGAAGCTTTATAGATTTTACATGTAGGGACGTCTAGGATCCATTCTGAGTTAATATGTACTTATGGAGGTTAGTCTCCAGATGAATTGAGATTGATAGATTTCCAGCCTTTCCTAGACTTTTTTTCCCAAATCCTCTCATGCCTTCTTCATGAAATTAAATATTGAGAAATAGGGTTTTTATGTTTTTTTGGGGGGGATAAAAGGAAAGTTTTGGAGCATCACAAATTGAGATTAAGATTATATGATTATATCTAAGATTTTGTTTTGCTCTGGGGGCCATATCACCCCATCGAGAATACAAAACCCCAATGACCCTTATATGGGTGTATTCTTATAGGGGTCTTCCTCGTTTTTTTAAAGCTTACATTTTCTTTTTATTTATTTATTTAGGCCATACTGCACGGCATGCAGGATCTTAGTCCCCCCCACCAGGGATTGAACCCAGGCCCCCAGCAGTGGAAGTGTGGAGTTATAGGTGTCTTCTTTTGCTTAGACAATATGTATTTAGTATGCCAACTTCAGATCTGTAATATGGACCAACTTTAGAACACCAAGAGACCTCATCATCAACATAACCGTCACTTCAGTGGTGTCTAGCCAAAGATTGCCTAAATGTCCTCAGCACTGTTCACAAGTGCTGAACTAGTGAACTAATGTCCAGCAAATATCAATATATGCTTTATCAGCACTTCCTTTCTCTGGTTTACAGAGCTGTCCATCCACTTATTCATCTACTCCTTCAATATTTGAGTGCTTCTTATGTGGTAGGCACTGGGTCTGCAGCAGTGAGGTAAAGTCTCTACCTTCTCAGAGTTTACAATCTAGTTCACCTTGTTCCTTCCTCTCCCTTTTCTCCTTGATATCGATTCCAAACATTATCGGTGCTGTGGTCACAATCTTGAGGTTGCAAAAATTCCTTTGGAAATGGCTGGACTAGACATTTTCCTGATCACTTTCAGATGATTTAGCCACAGAAGAATTCCATAAATTTACCGAAGAAATATGCCGTGGTGGAAAAAGTAGGTATTGGTTTTAGAAGCCAGGTGGCTACGGTCTTTATCCTGACGTTCTCACTCATTGTGAGAGAGTGTATCGTACTTTTAAGAACACCTCCGTGTGAGATTTAAACAGAAAAAGACTTAAGAAAAAACTTCCTACAGTTCTGTATTAATGACAACGGTGTGTTTCAAAAAACACTGTCTCGGAGACAGAAGAATTATTTCTAGTTTCCTATTTTAATCACAGGAAACTAAGCGACTTTCATTAGGTCCCTTCTCCCTTTGAATCTTTCCTCACCTGAAACACACAGATTACGCCAAAGGTCTCCCGAGCTTTAAAGTAGAAATCAGCTCCGATACAGGGAACCTGTTAGGCTTATTCAACTAATTGTAAAAACTACCTGTGCGTTTTAAGGTTTTACCTGAGCATGTATGGATATTACAAGATCATTAACCCAGCTTTTAAAAATGTGAATAATGTTTTTTCACAACTGAAGTCAGACCAGCAAGCCTAAGAGAGGGAAGGTAATTTCAGAAAATCAAAGGGTGGATGATAGGCCCAAATAAATTCTGGTTTCATTCTTGCTTTGGAGATCACCCAGCAGGTAACTAATTGACTCCTCACCTTATTCAGGTTAGCACGACCCAACCCTCCCCAATTAGCACCCAGCTCTGCTCGCCCAGCTCCGCCCAACAGCTGGATCTGTTTGCAGGTCCCGGAGGCAGCTCCGCCTCCATCCCCTTAAAGCACCCGCCCAGGCCCTCTGCACGTGGATGCGCCGCGGGCGGAGCTGGGAAACTCCGGAGACGTGACGTAGCGGCAATCTGCGGCTGCGGATTGGAGGGCAGGGGAAGGAAGGGTGGGCCGCATTGCCGGAAGTGACGCATGCCGGAAGCGGCTTTCTGCCGAGAAACTGGGGCCGAGGGAGTGGAGGTTAGGCCGTGGTGATCCCAGCCTGGTTTCCACATCTCCGCCCAGTTCACGGCGGTTTCACTCCTCACGGTTTTTTGTTTTGTTTTGTTTTTTTTCTCTGCAACGTGAGTGGCGTTGCCTCGCAGTGATTTCCGTGGGCGTCGCTAAAGAAGGACCTGGGAGGAGAGGAAGCCGCTGCAAACTGGCCAAGCTCCAGAAGGCGTGGAAGTACCTCCGCGTTTCCCATTTTAACTCGGCGTGAGCAGCGCGCTCTTCCCGGGCCTCGGTGGTCCCGGCACGTTGTGGGTGGTATTCATTGCCCAGACGCTCCGTGTAATTAGGAGAGAGAAAAACCACCGTTTTCCAGCATTTCTCGTGGAGGAGGAGAACTAAGCGATAGGAAAATGTCTATTTTCCCTAAAATATCTTTGAGACTTGAGGTTGAAAGCTATCTGAAAGCGGGCTTTATGAATGAGGAGGTAGGTCAGATAAACACGTTAGATGCTATTTGCAAAAATTCAAATATTTACACGCTCTAGAGAAATAGAAAAATAATCTAAAAGGCAATCAAATGTGTACAGCCGTTGTGTCTTAGTATTCGTCTTTCCGAATGTAAAATATGCTAATATCTTTCTGCAGGTATTTAATGTATGCTTTCCGAGCTAAGAGGTGTATGGGGTGTATGTTTTAACATTTAGAAATGGGAAAGGAGGGAAGGGTAAAAAGCGGTTGTGTGTCTGGCGGCAAGAATGCGCTGAAGGGATTACAAGGGGCAAGACAAGATCCCCGTCTCCGAGAATTTAAGTCCCGAAGAGAAGAAACGCCTGTACTCTTAGAGCGCCTGCCCTGGCGCTCAGGTGAAAGGTTTACTATCGTTCCGTGAGTGCTGCTTAAATGCCACCAGTTGTGCTAGATGAACCGCAGACCTTTACATCTTAATCTGCGCAGTCTTTTTTTGGTAGAGATTTCCTCCCCAATTTTTATAGATGAGAGAACTGAGGGTCCAAAGAGCGACGTTAAGTGAATCAAATTGACACCGCTGTCATGTAACAGTGTTGAAATGTGAAGGTAAAGAGCTCAGGTCCAATGGGAAAAGGAATGGATTTGGGACCCCAAGCCCCTGGTTTGCATCCCAGTGCTTTGAGTGAGCTACTTCACATCCCTTAACCTTTCTTTCCTTTTCTGTGAAATTTGAGGCGGTTAACAGTACTAAAATTTCAAGGTGGTTGTTTTAACGTATTAATCGTAAGTGCAAGCACCTGGCATCGTTTTGGCGCCTAATGGGTCCTCCACAAATGTTCCTTCTGTGCGCTGCTGGCAGTGCCGAGCCCAGAAGTCCTCAGTGAATGTTGATCGTCTTTGATTGCCAAGCCTGTGCTCTCTCCACCTTACCATCCCGCCTGCAGGCAATTTTGTATTTTCCAACTCTTTGATTTTCTATTCGAAATGAAGCCGCATAAATGTTACTCGTTTTCAAAGATTTTGGTGAAGCCATGATTTCTAGGTTTGATTTCTACATTTTATTTCCAGAGGTTATGTTAAGGGGCAAGACAGTACGGAAAGAGAAAATGCCTTCTTGATTTCAAAGAACTTATAGTATAAGGGGCGTATTAAGAGAAATAGAGGCAGTCAGCAGTTTTTTTTCCCAGCAGTTTTTAAAATGGTTAACATTGTTTTATAAAAAAAGATTCAAATGTCTGTCTGACACCACTTCTGCCGCAAACCCACTAACTATACGATTTTACAAAAAGAAAACCCATCCCTTTGTAAAAAGTATCAAAGGTAATGGAATATTCAGTTAAAAAAAACAAACCTTGAGAGAGTACGAATATTTTTAGGCTAGTGGATTATTAGGCTGGCAAGTGGTTTATGAAGATTCTGTGAGGCTGGGTATAGTCAAAGATGACAAAAAAAAGGAAATACTTGTCTCAAAAGCTTTAGTTAATTACAAGGAAACTCGGTTGTTTGAGTCTTTATAACTTTATTTCTGACAGGTATCTTGCTACCTGTCTTTTTTTGGACAATATCTTTTACATTTAATAATACTATATTAAGAAGCTGATGTTATGGGGGCTCTTTGGGTGACGGTATCAGTGTTACTTACTCTTCAAGTATTGGTGTTTTAAAACGTTACTAACCAATTTGCTCTAGGATACGGGGTTAGCAAGGAACTAATTCTACAGAAGTGATGTAACAGTTAATGTTTTTAGAATGAAATCCTGAATTTATATGAATAAATGTAGCAGATATGTTAATAATGTTTTTTGGCTGTGTTGGGTCTTTGTTCCTGCGTGCAGGCTTTCTCTAGTTGCCGCGAGCAGGGGCTGCTCTTTGCCGCGGTGCGCGGGCTTCTCATTCCGGTGGCTTCTCTTGTTGCGGAGCACGGGCTCTAGGCGCGTGGGCTTCAGTAGTTGTGGCTCGCGGGCACTAGAGCGCAGGCTCAGTAGTTATGGCGCACGGGCCTAGTTGCTCCGTGGCACGTGGGATCTTTCCGGACCAGGACTCGAACCCGGGCTCGAACCCGTGTCCCCTGCATTGGCAGGCAGATTCTTAGCCACTGCACCACCAGGGAAGCACGAGGCAGCGTTTTCTAAGCCCTTTTTGTCTGGTGTTTCACTATGTGTTTATTAGCATAACCCTGTGAAATAGCGCGATTCCCGTAGTGTTATTAACACATAAACAATGCAGAAAAGTGAAATGGAACCGAATAATTGCCGAATGATGTTTCATTAGTTGGAACAAATGTATAGACATATATCTTAATATTTTTAGTTTGTATAATGAAACTGAAACATTGTTCTTTTCTTCTTTTCAGGTTGTATCTGTTTTAGGTAAAGAAGCAGCAGAAAGGAAGTTTGAAACTCTGTTACATAAGTTGTCCCACCCTCCATCATTCACTACTGTCAGAGTAAATACGCATCTAGCCTCAGTACAACATGTGAAAAGTCTGTTATTTGATGAGCTTCAGAAGGTTCGTGCACATTTTTGTCATTATGTACAGAATTAGATTTCTACAATCTGTGTCATGTCACTCCTCACTAATATCATGTGAGCGACAAGTTTACAAATAAAGAAATTGAGGATCATGAATGTTGTTCAAGATTATGTAGTGAGTGCTCATGCTAGAGCTTGAACCTAGTACTTCTGATTCTGAATTAATTTAGTGACTGGATAGGTCACTCGACCCCTCTGGGCCTCCGTTGCTTCGTCATTAAAATACATAAGCGGTCCATTCTAACCCTAAAAGTCTGTGATATTGTAATAAGCAGCATATAACGACCATGAGGGCAGATCACGTAGCCAAGGTGAACCCAGAGGTAAGGAGGTGCCTACTGATTACCTGTAGGATTATATTTTTTATTTTAATATAATAATTTAATTAAATATAATAAAAGGAGGAAAATAATGTAAAGATATGTTTTAAAGATAAAACAACACAAATTTTTTTTTGTTCAACCAATAAAATAGTTTTGGCATAATACTAATTTTCTGTAAGTGAAAACAGTATTATAAAATGGCATTTTTAAAGTTCCATGCAGAAAAATAATATTGGAATTTTCTTGTTTATATTGTCTTCTTTGCTTTCAAAAGCTGTACTTTTTTTTTTTTTTTTTTTTTTTGCGGTACACGTCGCCTCTCACTGTTGTGGCCTCTCCCATTGCGGGGCACAGGCTCCGGACGCGCAGGCTCAGCGGCCATGGCTCACGGGCCTAGCCGCTCTGCAGCATGTGGGATCTTCCCGGACCGGGGCACAAACCCGTGTCCCCTGCATTGGCAGGCGGGCTCTCAACCACTGCGCCACCAGGGAAGCCCCAAAAGCTGTACATTTTATAAGTGAAATAAGTCAGATAGTGAAAGACAAATACTGCATGATATCACTTATATGTGGAATCTAAAAAATACAACTAACTAGTGAATATAACAAAAAAGAAGCGGACTCACAGATACAGAGAACAAACAAGTGGTTACCAGTGGGGAGGGAGGGGGAGGGGCAGTATAGGGGTGGGAGTGGGAGGGACAAACTATTGGGTGTAGGACAGGCTTAAGGATGTGTTGTACAACATGGGAAATACAGCCAATATTTTGTAGTAACTGTAAATGAAAGGTAACCTTTGAAAATTGTATTAAAAATTTTTTTAAACCAGAAAGAAAACCCCAAAGCTGTGCATTTTGTGTTTCATACACTGTGTACTGAAACTTGCCTCCAAAGAAATGTAAGATGGAGGAAAACAGATGCTTGGAGAGGGTACGTCAAGTTGTATTTTGTAGTTATTAAATCTCTTCTAACAAATAACCATGATGGGTGTCAGCAGACCTATTTCTACGTAATTGCCTAAATGAAAAGGAAGAGGTAAGCATGCTTAAAAGACTTGGATTTGTATATCACAGGCTGTGTTATCAGTTTACTTTGGATATAACTTAGAGAATTTTCACTGGTATTGATTCTTTTTTAAAAATTTTATTGATGTATTGTTGATTTACAGGGTTGTGTTAATTTCTGCTGTACAGCAAAGTGACTCAGTTATGCATATAAATATTCTTTTTTTTTTTGGTACGGGGGCCTCTCACTGTTGTGGCCTCTCCTGTTGTGGAGCACAGGCTCCGGACGTGCAGGCTCAGCGGCCATGGCTCACGGGCCCAGCTGCTCTGCGGCATGTGGGATCTTCCCGGACCGGAGCACGAACCCATGTCCCCTGCATTGGCAGGCGGACTCTCAAACACTGTGCCACCAGGGAAGCCCTAAATATTCTTTTTCATATTCTTTTCCATTATGGTTTATTACAGGATATTGAATATAGTTCCCTGTGCTGTACAAATAGGACCTTGTTGTTTGATTCATTTATTTTTTGTCTTTAATCTCATTACATTTATGGAATGTTTATTGTACTCTCTTTAAGAACAATTCTATGAACTTCCAGTTGTGAGGAGATGACCAGGTTATAAGAACCAGCTACGATTTCTGGCTGTATGAGAACAAAACTTAGTATAATAATTTTAAATAAGACTTGGAGAAAGGTTAATCTGATTTTTAATAAGAGCAGTAATTTTATTGAGAGTAATGGCATTAGGCATAAAATATAAGCAGTTCCTCTAAGCAACTAAGATTATTACTTTTATGTAGTCATGCATGTAGGTTTTCAGTATGAAGGAAACTGTTCTGAGGCCCGTAAGGTGTCCCTAAGTCAGGCAGATCCAGATTGTTTTCTTTTCTAGAAATTATTCCTAGAGCTTAGATAATCTAGGATCCCACTGTGATGGGAATAGAAGATCTCAGGAGTTGCATCTAAGAGCAGGCAGACGAAGTCACTCTGGGCTTTTGAGTCCCTTTCCTTGAAGGTTAAGATAAGACTGAGGAGGTTGGGTCGTGGGCACTAGGTAAGTATCTGGTGGTTTGAGCAGTGCCTGTTTGCAGCAGGAAAGGAGATTCGCAGGAGGTTTTAGATTGTACATCTCCTTTCTTTTGCCATGTCCCAAGCTCGTGTGTGTCCTAAAGACATATCCTGAATGATATATGAGTGGGTGCTTTGTCTCCAAATATCTCTGTGTCCCATATTGAAATTTAATCATTTAAAATTTCATTTGACTGGTGAGTGATGTGGAGAAACGGACCTTTATACGTTGCAGATGGGAAAGTCAAGTGGTTTGGCTTCTTTGGAAGACAGTTTGGTGATCTCTTAAAAAGTTAAACATAAATTTACTGTACAACCCAGCAGTTCCACTCCTAGGTGTCTACCCAAGAGACATGAAAACATACGTCCATGCAAAGGCTTGGGCATGAACATTAATAGCAGCATTGTTCATAATAACCAAAAGGGAGAAGCTGTGCAAATGTCCATCGACTGGTGAATAGAAAAACAAAACGTGATATGTTCACACAGGGGAACAGTACAGCAATGAAAGTGGTGAACTGATACGTGCTACCACTTGGGTGAACCTCAAAAACACTATAGTGAGTGAAAGAAGCCACACACAAGACAGTATGATCCTTTTTATATGAGATGTCTCGAAAAGGCAGATTTCTAGAGAAAGAAAGTAGGTTAGTGGTTGCCTGGGGTTGGAGCTGGGAACAGGCATTGGCTGCAGATGGACATGAGGAATCATAGTGTGTTGATGGACAGGATCTGAAATTGGATTTTAGTGGTGGTCACACAATTCTGTAAATTTACTAAAAATCATTGAATTGTGCATTTAAAATGGGTAAATTTTATGGTATGTAAATTAACCTCACTAAGGCTGTTTTAAAAAGGGCACGGGGTAGAAACAAACAGAAAGACAAGCAGGTGATATGCTTGGTTTAAAAAAAAGTTTGTGGTCTTTTATGGAAGTTACAGACGTGTGGTTTTATAAAAGTTTTATTTCTGTATCATTTTAATATCTGATAAAAAGGGAGAGAAGGGAAACCTGGCCTGAGGAGGATTGATCTCTCTGTAGACTATTTCTATAGTATAAAGAAATAGTACTTCCAAAGCAAAACAAAAACAAATGGCAAAATTCATTCTCTTCTCCTTGGAAGGATCCATAGTCTGGATGCTGTAAGGTATCAAACTGAGAGCACATGAGGGAGAGAGGGAAAAAAAAGGGAGAGAGGTTTGTCTGAATGAGTTTGCCCTTAAGGTTTCTTACTATTCTGTTGGATGTGGTTAGTTCACAGTATCCTTTGCCTGGAGGAAGCAGAAGGCAGAAGAGCTGTTGACTTGGTAGAAATATAGTCAGATTTCTAAAATCTGAAGAATTTTTTTTTCTCTTTCCATCAACTTAGAAATAGGTTGATTTTGGAAGTTTTCTGTAGGTAGTGTATGGATACTACAAGGCAATGCAAATATCTGTTATGGTCACTGCTCTTTGGTGTATTATGTGAAAATGAATGAGTTGATAATCCCTAGCTTACATGGCAGAGACTTGTTCTCCAGTATTTGCGTGCTGCCCTCCGATAGGGTACACAGCCCTTGCTGTCCAGTCCACTGTTCCGCGTGGAGTGCCCGGTTGTCTTCCGCCTGCAACGGTGGTGTGCTGGTACATACTGCACAACCCACTTTCTGGGAAAAATAATGCTGGTGTGTGGTGTTTGCTGAGTTTTGTGGTGTAAACGCTCCCACTCTGGTCTATTTCAAGCTACCAGCATGACCATGGAGTTGGGAAGAGCTGCAGAGTTGGCTCCCATGAGACTGGGAGTTGGCCCCAGCACCTATGCCACTGGCCCTGCACTTATTTCCAGTCTGAAGGCCAAGTACGGTAGAGGATACTGAAAATCCTGAGCCTTTGCCAGGAAGCATCATCCAACTGACATGGCATCCAGTGTTGATAATATATAATAAATAGCGTTTAGTAATCTCAATCTTTAATGTCCTATTCATGCAATCCTATATTGGATATGTGTTTTCAGAGTAAGTCACGTAAGGTCAACAATGGTTCGTGTTTCCAAAGTCAAAAACAGTAAGCAAAATTGAGCCTTTTACTTGTAAAGAAGTTAAGATACTTGAGAATCAAATTATAGAGAAAACGTTGTTGTTTTGAAGTCTTTGATTTTTTATAGTATCCCGTGGAATAAAGTGAAAATGCCCTAACTCAAGCTCATTACCGTGCTCTGCTAGGTAATGACACTGAAAAGCTCTGTAACTTGAAATTTAACCAGTATACTGATTGCTTTGTAATCCTGTGTGTTTATTTTTAACAGCAGTTTAATGGATTAAGTTTTCCTATTCTTCAGCATCCAGACCTTCAGGATGTCTTACTTATTCCTGTTATTGGACCTAGGTTTGTAACTATTTCATTTTCAAATTGTATTCTTCTAAATAAAAATGTCACAGGTTCTTTTTTACTGTTAGTGACAGTACTAAGTTTCTCCATTATTAAGATAGGAATTCACAAACTTGGTAAATGCTGACTCTATAGTCTTTCATGGAAAATATTACAAAAGAACACTAGGAATGGGCCCAGATACCTTGAGAGTAATGCATTGTACTTGCGTTTAGTGCAGTGATTGATTTTTTTTTTCTGTGTTATATCATGTTTTCTTTTCTTTTTAAACATCTTTATTGGAGTATAATTGCTTTACAATGTTGTGTTAGTTTCTGCTGTGCAGTGATTGATTTTTTTCCATTCTGTAAGAAAATTACTTTTACATTTGTTTCCTTGTATATCTTGATTCCACTGCTCAATTAAAACTTCATTGAGCTACAACAAAAATACAAAGCACCGTTTCCTACTTTAATAATTGATATGTTTGTAAAATTTTATTAATTCACAGTTATGTTAAATTACTGTGTTTGTTCTCTGAGTAGAACAGACACTATGTGTTTGGTGGGATGTGTTTAAAATTGGAAAAAATCGGCTTTCATATTATGGTGGGTGTTGTATTGAAAATCCCTAATTGTGATAAAATTTTTTTAATACCCCTAAGACTTATAATAAACATAAAAATGCTCATTTTGTTAAAGCTTTAAAGTAATTTAGCGGTCAACAGTAGAGCAGTGGTTTTTGGTTTATCCACGCAGTGGATTATTATATGGCCTTTATTATTATTATTTTTATGTGGCCTTTAATGTGGGAGAATTATATGTACAAAGAAAAGGTGATGTTCTCGATAAATTAAATACCAAAAGCATGTTGCTCTGTGTAGGAATGTAAGAAATCACATTTCTTTTGCGACTAAAAAACACAACTACAGATTTATATATATATTTATTTATATACGGAAAAAAGTCTGGAGGGTATAACATACCCAACTGTTGACAGGGATTAACTCTGAGGAAGTTGGATTGGGAGAAACTGAGTAAGAGGAGATTTTCACTTGTAATATTTCTGTCTTTTTTTTTTTTTTTTTTTTTACCATAAGCACGTATTACTTCTGCAATTAAAAAAGTTGATTTTGTAAACTCCCCCCCTTTTTTTTCTTTGGCTGTGTCGGGTCTTAGTTGCGGCACACGGGATCTTCATTGAGGCTCACGGAATCTTTCGTTGCAGCGTGGGGGCTTCTCTGTAGTTGTGGTGCGTGGGCTCTGTAGTTTGCAGCACGCGGGCTCTCGTTGAGGTGTGCGAGCTCCGTAGTTGTGGCGCGTGGGCTTAGTTGCCCTGCGGCATGTGGGATCTTAGTTCCCCAACCAGGGATTGAAACCGCATCCCCTGCATTGGAAGGCAGATTCTTTACCACTGGACCACCAGGCAAGTCCCGATTTTGTAAACTCCTTCTTCTAGCTCTTTGTTAAGGGGGAATTTGCAGTAGTGAAATGCAGAGATCCTAATTAAGTGTACTATTTGCTGAGTTTTGGTAAATTCATACAACTGTGTAGTCAAGACTCACCCCCATCAAGATATACACCATTTCCATCACCCAGAAAATTCTCTGCATTCTGCCCCTCTACCAGGAAACCAGTGTTCTGATTTCTTTCATCTCCTAGTTTTAAACCAGTTAGTTACTACAGTTGATCACAGTCACAGGTCTTTTGAGACCTGTGATTCATTTCAGAATGTACTGTGGCCTCCGTAGTTTTCCATAATCCTATATAACACTATTTCATTCTTTTTACTGGCTATGTAATAATTCTTTCATCTGTTCTTTGTAGTGAGCTAAATTACTCATTAAAACATTAGTGGGGACTTCCCTGGTGGTGCAGTGGTTAAGAATCCGCCTGCCAATGCAGGGGACATGGGTTTGAGACCTGGTCTGGGAAGATCCCACATGCTGCAGAGCAGCTAAGCCGTGTGCCACAGCTACTGAAGCCCATGCCCCTATATCCCGTGCACCACAACAAGAGAAGCCCGAGCACTGCAACAAACAGTAGCTCCCGTTCACTCCAAGTAAAGGAAGCCCGCGCACAGCAACGAAGACCAAAAACGCAGCCGAAAGTGAATAAAAAGTTAAAAAAAGTTAAAGCATTAGTGAACTATAAAACACAAACGGTGAGTTACTACAGGAAAGCACTAAGAAATCTTTTAGGATTGTGGATTCATATACCTACCTTTTGTTTCTAAAAGGAGCAGTTCGGCTCTTTTTTGTCTTTTAAACTCATCATCACTTTTATTAGGTATCTTTTGACTTTCCACTATGAAAATTGAAGAAATTCTTATGCTTAAATTTGCCCTAAAACCTCCACCAACCAATTTTTATTTACTGTTAGTTTTTTAACAATGTAAAGCTTTGTAACATTTTTATTCTACAAGCATAATTCAAATGAATGCAGTGCTTGCTTGTAGCCCTATTGGTAGTTTATTTCTGAGTTCTTTATCTTAATTGATCTCTTGGTTGATCGAATAGCGTCATGTAGCAGGTCTCCAGCACCTGCTTCCCTTCCCCCAAGTATGTCTCTTGTATGCTCTGTTTCCTTTCTCGCTTGAGAATTGCTTGTTGCCTTTATATTTAAACAACAACTTATAGGCTGATTATAGTCATTTCAAGTCACATGTTATTTCCCTCAGCCCTTTGTAGACACTGCTTCTACAATCTTAGGGCCCCACGTGTTGCTATGAAGAAATCTGAGGCCAAAAAATATTTCCCCCCCTTACAACAGAACCTTGATTTTTCACTTGGAGATCTATGGGATTCTTAGGCACTGGACTTTAGAAACTTCACTGGGGTATACCTTATAATAATAATAATAATTGTTATTAATATTTATAATAATAATTATTATTCTCCTTAGTTTTCATTGAAATGCAATGTAATTTTTAAATTACAAGTCTTCTGGTAGTTCTTTGAATATCTTTGTTACATATTCCTGCCCGATCTGTTAGGAGGACACTGGTGGTCCATGTGTTGGTTTTCCAGGACAGATGCTCCCTGTGTTGGGACACCCCCAGACAGCCCAGGGTCTTGTGACGGGCTGGAGGGACTCACAGGACTCAGCATCTAGTCAGGCTCATGGCGGGGATTTATTACACGAAAGGGGTACAAAAGCAGAAACAGCAGAGGGAAAAGGCATGCGGGGTAAAGTCTGGAAGAAACCAGGCGCAAGCTTCTGGACGTCTCTCCCCATGGAGCTACCAGGACAGGCTTCATCCTTCGAGCAGTCAGTTGTGACATGTATAGAATCATTGTCTATGAGAGGAGCCCATTAGAGACCCAGCACCCAAGGTTTTAGTTGGGTGCTGGTCATCTGGGCGCCCTCTGCCTGGCATGTAATGGAATTCCAGGCTCCCAAAAGGAAAGCAGGTGTTCAGCATAACCACACAGCTTGGACGAACAGTTTAGGAACAGTAATTCACTCTTAAGAGGTGGTTTTATGTCAGTGCTGGGGACCGTTGGCCAGTCAAGGTTCCAGATGCTGCCGAGGTCCAGCCTTCCCAGCAGGCCTTTCTAAGAATAGCTGTCGCAGGCCTGTTACATTAACTCTTGAATTTCACAGGGTTTACTATCCTTTACTTGCTGAGCTGGGCTAGTTCACTTTTGTTCTGTATTTTTTTAATCTTGTTGTTATTATATCCCTTTTCTAAGGTTCTTTTTAGTTTCTTTGAAACTATACAGAGGTTATTTGAAATTCTGCCCTTTTTTGGTCTGTACATTTTGTACTGCCTTTTGTTTATTACAGCTTTGTTTACTACTACGGATGTCCCTTGGTATCCATGGGAGACTGGTTCCAGGATACCCCGCTCCCCGCCAACATACCAATAATCACAGAGGCTCAAGTCTCATATGAAATGATGTAGTGTTTGCATATAACTCATGCACATCCTTCAGTATGCTTTAAATCATTTCTAGATTACTTACAATACTTAATACTATGTAAGTAGTTGCCAGTGCACAGCAAATTCAAGTTTGCTTTTAGGAATTTTCTGGAATTAAAAAAAAATGTTTTTTCATCTGCGGTTGGTTGAATCCATGGAGGCAGAACCTGAGGGTAGACAGGGCCATGTGTATCTACACATAGTTCCCAGTTTGAGTGAATCCTTGAATGAAAACTTTCACATAGATTCACCTAGTTTGCACTTCGGGTCAAGTGTGTATCTAGACAACTCATCAGATGTGTCTTTCAAAATACTTTCACCAGGTCTTTCCTAGTGGCACAACTCTAGTCCTGGTGAGCTGAGCTGAAGAAGACTAAGGCTCTGTGAGGGGATCCGGCTCATAGCTTCTTTGTTGGGGGCTTTAATTTTTGTTAACGCTTAGTGAACTCAGCGGAGGAGTGACAGAGTTGCTTGCGCTTTCCCTTCTCTTCCCTTAGCTACTTCTAGGCAGTTTGTCCAGTTTTGTTACAGAAAGCAGAGATTGTCTGCTTGTGCCAATTTTGCCAGTCCAGTCCTCCTTCATCTTTATCTGCAGGGCACAGGACACTGACAAGATGCTCCCAGATTCTCCTTTTTTCTGTCTGACCCTCTGGTCCTGGATCTAAGCAGTAAATATTTGTTTAGGCACCCAGAAGCCTTTCCTTTTCAGAAGCATTCATACCCTGTTGAGGAACTAGGTTTGATCCAAATTTTACTGTGTTTGCTAATTATTCTTAATCATTTGGGTAATAGCTGTTTCTTAGTTTTCTTGCAAATGGAATTTTCTTTTAGGTTTTTCATTCCCCATTTCTGTGGGCTTTAGAAAAAGGAATATATTTATACTTTTATTCTTTGACTAATCTTTTACTAGAAGCTCAACATCATCCAGTTATTTAAGATATCAAAACATAGGTTAAACTATTTATAGGCAGTAAACAATTTAAAAAGTAATTTCTCACCATAAAATTCAGGTTCCCTCATTTTATTTAACATGCTATTTAATTTACTGATCAAATATATTTTAATGTTAGGAAGGTTTTATCACTGGTAATTAG